CTCTCTCTCTCTCTCTCTCTCTCTCTCTCTCTCTCTCTCTCTCTCTCTCTCATATAACGCGATTCTAAAACCTCCATACACGAATTTTAAGAAAATTTCGTCTAAAGAGACTTCTCTATCGTTTAAGGATTAAAACGATTATGAGCTCACATTTTTCTTTAAATGTCTAAAGTTTCAGACACTTTTTTTAGTTTGTATGATAGATTTTGTTTTTCAGTAAATATTAAACATACATATAAATATCATCGATGTATATATTTAAATTATAATCTAATTATGTAATCTAATAAATGTAATTTCAACGTGGATGTTGCCGTCTACGTACTTCAACATTGTAGACTCTTCGTATTTTCAATACAGATAACGGAATTGCTCGACGGTGCGTCTCTCGATTGTTTCAAACAAACTCTGTCTCGCACAATTTTTACCTGCGCGTGTTTGATGGCTGCAACAGGCATCGACGCTGTAGGCGCTTGTGGGGGTGGTGGTCGAGCGGCTGGAGGCGGCACAGCCGCGGGTTTCGATGGTGGAACAGCCGCCGCGGGCTTCGGTGGAGGAGCTGCCGCCGCCGGCGCACTAGGAGGTGCTTTCGGTGGAGCGGCCGCGGCGGGACTCGGCTTTTCCGTCGCAGGTCCAGCCGCGGTTCCGCCGGTCGCTCCTATGTCGATAGTACATAACTTCTGTCCAGGTTTCACAGTATCGCCATCTTGAACGAATAATTCTTTTATGACGCCAGCTCCAGGCGACGGAACAGGGACCGAAGTCTGCGGACAACAGACAATTGTCAGTAGGAGAAATTTGCGTTAGTTTTATCCTATAATTATTTAGCTTGCAAATATGCGTCTACTGTAAACTCGTGATCGGAAAGATTGTCTGACTTTCTTTTTTTACAAATTTAAGAATCTTCCTGTCCAATGGGAGAATTTATTTTCCAATAAAAGAGCTCTCTCATTGGATAAGATAGATTGAACAGATAGTCCTTGCACAATGCCAGGTTACAGGCAATAGGAACAGGGAATAGAAATAATTAACCAATTCGAATTCCTATTCCCTATTCCTATTGCCTGTTGCCTAGCATTCTGCAAGAGCCTTTACAAAAAAAGACTGTAAAAGAGACCAGACAATCTTTCTGACCACAAGTGTACAAGTATACACTGTGTGCGTGCACAAATTCTTTCAAAATTAGTATCCAATATTTTTTTATGTTCAATACTTTCAGCATTTTTACTTGCAAAATATAGAATTTGTTGAATAGTTTACTCAATTGGTAAAATTGCTGAAAATTACCAAACGTCCTTTTTAATGTAGTGATTTTATTGTAAGGAATTAAAAACGTATGAACATACCTTATCCGTCTCGATTTCACAGAGAATATCATCTTCCTTGACCTGGTCGCCAACCTTTTTCTCCCATCTCACGTCGCCCTCGCTTACACTTTCAGCGAATGCAGGAACTACAACCTCCCTGATTTCCCCTGTTCAGATATAACATAAACATCGGTTATATATTCTATGGAATACACAGTACAGATGTTAAACCAGTTATACTTACATAACGCCGAAGTTGAGTGTATATGTTTAGCTTGGTTTATCCAATATTGGCTTCCTTTATATTTTCTACAACTGTAGGTGTACAAAAAGACTATTTTAATCTTTTCCTGCTTTATCCTCATTTCATTTCTTAAAAATTGGAAGGTATCAGTGCAGCATGAAGGGACTAAGATTTTCAATAATGGCATTGAATATTATTAAATTAAATTTGAATGTTATAAAATTATGACATTAACAGTATTACAAATATCAGAGTAAGATAATACTCACAATATAACTTTGGTATTGAATACATGCTTAGATTGTATAAGTACAGTACCCCCTACAAAAATAATTTGTACAGTTAATACTCTTTTACGCTAATAAGTTTTCCAGTTGATATTATACTTTGTATAGTCATCGCTTTCGCATTTCTCCTTAAATATATCTCATTGTGTCATCTTTGCGTGACCTTACCTTGACTATACAATGATCTCGTAATCTGAAAAAAGAGCAAATGTAAAAATGTATCAGTTTCAGCTAAAAAAATACGTGGGACGTGACGAAAATGGCGACAAGATAAAAAACGAAAGATTCAGTCAGGAAAATAGGCGATTGATCTTATGAAACGTGCGCGCGGTGCGACGGCATGGTCTGAGTAAAAATAGGCTACGTTACCAACAGGGAAGATAGAGAGAGAGAGAGAGAGAGAGAGAGAGAGAGAGAGAAAGGGAGCGACAAAGAACGAGCTGCCGTCGATCACGCGGTGCACTGATTAAGATGATCATTCGTGATGTTTTGGTGCTCGATACTTGCCGAGAATCAACGACCTCAGTGATTAAAGGAACTGCTCCTCGCGATGTCGAAGTGACAGATCGCTATGAGCGCGAATCACGGACATGCAGTCGGGGAAGAGTATTATGTAATCGTCTTCGCGCGGTGGAGAAGAACTCCTGCCGAGCGAACGTAATAACTCGCGTAATATCTTGCGCGTAATAACTATGATTCGATAGGAAAAACTCGAGGCTATAATCTCGTTTTTTGAGAGCAAACGTCACCGCTTCTACTCATGCCGACAACACAAAACGTGCAAAGCGAGAAAGCCGCGCACTCACCTTGGCCCGCAATACGCTACCTCGCGTGATCACACGAGACGCGAGCCGCGAACAGTTGGACAGCATCGCGGCCATCCTTGATCAAGTAAACTGTACTCCAGCACCGGGTGTTTCTTCGCGCGACGACGGCGAAGTATAGGAATAACGGCAGCACGGTTTTCACCGTGAGGATGGGGGGAACGGCAAGAAAACGAGAGGAACGGGAGAGGCGGCACCTGTTAAGGTCGGCTGACACTACTACGAGATAAGGTAACTCGTGCCCCTGGACACAAAGTTATGTAATTTATTTCGTGATTATGATCTACAATCAGAGAACTCTGACATTATCGATTGTTCGCGATGTACACGCATTCAACACCGACGAATATTTTTCAGAAGTGTATTTTTCATACAGTATATTCATACAGTATATTCCGAAAATATATTGGCTTCATTTGATTGAATGCTTTTGTACCGAAGCTTCACTTTATCTTCCTTTAGCATATAATGAGCAATAAAGATAGAATGAATAGCGCAAAAGTGTTCAAAGCGAATGTCACGGTCAATCCTAAAAGCCAATGCACAAGCACATCCGTAATATGTTACGTTACATTAAATACTGACAATATAGTGGCCATACTTGTACGTAAACTTAAATCAACGCACAAAGAAATTCGTAAACTTAACATGTTACGGATGTTCTTGTGCAGAAGCTCTAAATCTTGGAAACCCTTGAATCAGAAACTGGCCATGAGATAACGCGTTTTAAATTACGCTCCGCAATATGCATATATCCGCATCTTTTATGACTCTGCACACAGGACGCGGTAATGCTTGCCTCACGGCGGAAGTCCGCACGACAGCCAATCAATATGTTGATTTTCCGTAAGAGCTAGAAGGTTATTACGGAAAGCAGCATATTGATTGGCTGTCGCGCGAACTTCCGCCGCGCGGCAAGCATTATTGCGTCCTGTGTGCAGGAGCCATTATTCTTGAAATAGTTGCGTATACGTAATTTTTACTGCGCAGGTTTAATCATACTATAAAATAGCAATGAAAATTACGTATACGCAAAAATTTCAAAAATATGGGCTATGAACTATAGATAAATACGCATATATGCGGAACATAACTTTAAGCTCGGTTTACATAGCTCGCAGACAGTTGGTCTGTTCTTTTCAGCTGCACTGCTGAACTAGTGTAATAAGTTAAAATGAGACAAGTATATGTTTTCTCACTCTAACTTATTGCATCAGTTCAGCAGTGCAGTTGAAAAGAACAGACCAATAGATACAGGCCGCGACAGCCAATGGGCATGTTCAGTGGAAAAAGCGTTCAGTGAGCAATCAGCGATTATTGGTTCTTACTGTTAGATCCCTAAATCTAGACCAATGGGTTCAGCAGATAAAAACGCTCAGTGTTTCGATGCATTCGATGTTTATTGGTTTATTCTGTTGATTCCGTATATTTAGACTAATTACATTTACGAATCTCACTCAACAATTGTATAACTATTGTGTCTGCTGAATACGCCCAATTACGCGAATTGCTCAACTGTTGTGCACTGTTGAGTTCGCTAAACGCACCTATTACAACACTTATGTCTTTGTATAACTCTTATGTCTCTTGTATCATATGTCTGTCTTTGTTTTTCCTTCAATTTAGACAAAGATAGACATATGATTTAACTATCAGTTAATTTATCAAGAAATTAGAACAATCGGCTCTTAATCCATAGTTTGATACAAGCCGTGACACCTGTTTAATATGGACTTTTTACACTAGTGCAGAAAGTTCATATAAAAAGAATAAATCGTCTACTTGTTATCGCGAAAGCAACGCAAACGTAAACAATATGGCCGATGTACGAAGTACGTCGGTACAAGAAAACGGCACAGCTTAATAAATCAATATTTAAGCTATGTGCCGTAATACTATATAGATATGTTATTTAAATGCGCGAATTGACCAATTTTCCTTTCAGAACCAAGTTTCTTTCATCGCAATGTCGTCTGAAAAGGTAGGTTATGTAACATTGACAGTTTTACTTCATATGAAATTGATTAATAAAAATTTCAATATTAATTACATCAAAGACAGAAAATGTCTTCTGTCTTGATCAATAGATCTGTGTCTTCGTTTGTCTCACTTAATTTATGATATGCAAACCACGCAAATCCTACTTTATTGTGAGAGAATGTTCATTTAAATTAATTTTTGAACAGGTCCTTTATCGACTAGAGCAGCCTCATGGTTCTGGCAATATTTATATTGCTTGGCGTCCTGGAAATAGCACGCACCTAGCTACTACAGGTTGTGATTTAACAGTTGCCATTTTTGATAGACAAGGTGATATCCAAGAACGAATATCAATCCCTGGATTATGTACTGGCTTTGGTTGGGACTCAGATGGAGATTTGTTGGCGGTAATAGCGCAAAATTCGTCATCTATAATTTTATGGGATGCAACAACTGGAAAGAGGTCCCAGATAGATGCAGGTGTAAGAGATGGATTGAGCTGTATGATGTGGGCGAAGAAGACTTGTCTATTAGCAGTAGGCACACAAAAGGGGAATTTGGTACTTTACGATCACATAAATGCAAAGTAAGATATTATCTCTTGAAAATAAATCAAAGATATGTAGGATAGTACCATAGCATAAAGTTTATTATTAACTCATCATCTCATTTAATATGAAATACAGACGAATACCTATTTTGGGAAAGCATAAAAAACGTATTGTATGTGGTGCATGGTCAGCAGATGGTCTTCTTGCTTTGGCAAGTGAAGATAAAGTTCTAACCATCAGCACAACTGAAGGGGATACGCGTCGTGAAATAACTCTCCAAGGTGATCCGTCTCATATACAATTTAGTGAAATGAAAATGGACCATAGGATAGGTGGTGAAAATACGGTAAGCCTGTGGTCTTATCAGCAATTGATAACGTTTAAAAGTCGTGATACAAATCTATATTCTCTTTTTTACCTATTTACAAATTTATATTTAGGTATCCCTCATTGTTAGCAAGACAACGTTATTCTTGTACAATATTTTGGACCCAGAGAATCCTATTGAACTGGCTTTTCAGAAACGTTATGGCTCTATCGTAACTTATAAATGGCAAGTATCAGTATAGCAATAGTGTGTGGATGAGTGTGAATAAAGTAGATGAAATGTAAGCCAAGTCCCTTTCTGGAATTGTAAGTTGAAGTAATAAATTATTGGACAGTATAGCAATACAGTCTCTAGCATTGCACTACTTTAATAATAACAATACACGTGCATTTTCACTTTGTAGGTATGGAGATGGTTACATATTAGTAGGCTTCGAAGCTGGATTCTTTATAGCCATATCGACGCATATCAAAGAAGTGGGCCAGGAGTTGTTTCAAGTGAAGAATCACAGAGACTCTCTGACTGATATCGCGTTGAGCAAGGCGGTAGGAAAGGTAGCCACTTGCGGCGATAACACGATCAAAGTACACAGCTTGCAGAATCTAGAGGAGACTGAGACGCTAATCTCAGTAACCAGCGAAAGTGGAGTCAGCAATATCGATTGGTCAACGGACGGAACGATGCTGGCGGTGGTCACTTATATCGGCAATATTTTGATCTACTTGATAGAGATTCCGAAGTTGACTAGCGTTTGCGGCAACCGAATAGCATTGTTAACGAGTCTGATGGAAGTGGCTGTACATCTTTACACATTAGACAAGGTACTTTTTATCATGCGATAAGGTGATACAGCAGGCTTCCTTTTCACTAGGAATCACTCTTTCAGGATAAACCTAGTCCACAAATAATCAACACCATAATAGAACCGTCGATATTAGCAGTGGGTCCAATGCACGTGGCGGTAGGATTGAACAATAGAGCACTCTTCTGGGACTTGTCTATAAGTCATTACGACAAGATACATTTTGAGAGAGACTATTTGGCTACGATAGATAGCATGCGTTTGAACGAAACATACGTGTCGGCGCTATTCGACGGGAAACTACAGTTACATACGGTAATTACGAGAAGGTTCGAATTAATAATTAATGGGAACAATATAAATAAAACTGATACTGATCTTATTTTATGGACGCAGATTAAATCGGATCAGACGCTAATAAATGATGGTAAAGATACCAAAATGTTTCCGGATTTGAGCTCTACTCACAGTAGAGTAACGTGTCATGCTCTTTGCTCGGATTTCTTGGTTTACGGTAATGACGTAAGTTCACGTCGCTTTTTGTGATCATTTTTACGTTAAATTCAAACAATTGACGAGTTTCTGAAATTCTTAGATGGGTCATATTGTCTACTTTTATCTGGAGACATTCAATCAGTGTACCGAATTTATGCACAACAACGGCATAAAGGAATTATATTTGGATGCGAACGGAACGCAGCTGTGTTTTATCGACAATAAATCGGACGTTTATATATTCGATCCGATAAACGAAGCAGCCATTGCAGTACCTGACTGTCCTGATAACATCGATGGTATTCTTTGGGATCAGAACATATTCGAACGTGCTATATTTGCGATATACAATAAAAGCAGTATTGTGACATACATTTTTGTTAAGTATTTTGTCGAAGGTGAGTGTTCAAATAAATTGATTATACATTATCGCCCTGAAATCTAATAACGATGCTAACAATTGCAATGAACAGGTACCAAAGTGATACAGATAAACACAACCAAGTTGCCATCGGAATCGGTGCCTTTATTGATGTACTCGGGGGAAGTAACGTTAAGTACGATGGGTAGCAAGTTAATACAAATAACATTAACTTCTCACGAAGAAGTAGGAAATATCGTGGAATCCAAAAAGATCAACGAGATTTTGAACAATCAGATTCTGTGCAGACGGTGAGAGTTGTAGAATTTTTAGTATATGAACATATGCAAACACGTATAAAACAATATAAAAACACACTTTTGTATAATTTAGCTTTCAACAGGCATGGAACACTTGTGAAAAATTAAATGAGAAAGATACCTGGCTAAAACTGGGACGAAGCGCTATTGCGAATTTGAATATTGAATTCGGTAAGCGTAATGTTGCACACAACATACACACAATAAAAAATATTATAACGCACTTAATTTACCGTACACAGCTATTCGTGTATATCGACAAATAGAAGATGCTTCAATGGTGTGGACGTTGCAACATATGGAAAATGTAGACGAACTAGCACTGCTGTGTGGTCACGCTTGTATATTACTGGGAGATTATAATGAAGCTGAAAAGTATTTCCTACAATCTTCTGAGCCCGTACAGGGCTTGTACTTGAGAAGAGACTTGATGCAATGGGAGCAAGCATTAAGTCTGGCGCAAAAATTGAAGCCTGATGAAATTCCTTTTATCGCCAGAGAATATGCCCAACAATTAGAATTCACGTAAGATCCTCATATATCTCATTAAATAAGTTATTAGCAGTACAGGAAACATCATCGCTATAAAATAAATAAAATATATTTTTTTTGTACAGCGGAAATTACCCAAAAGCTTTAACAAATTATGAACGCGGTCTGGTTGACTATAACACTTCGTCCACTTTGGTGGCGCAAAATCCCCATCATCGGAATCAATGTCTAGCGGGGATAGCGAGGATGTCTATAAGATGCGGTGATAGCAGAAAAGGTGTCGGAATAGCGATGGATCACGAGAGCTCGAGACTGTTACGAAAGGAGTGCGCCGAGATTCTAGAATCGATGAAGGTATAATCATCATTGTTAGAGTTCATTAAGAATTGATTATATTTCAATACTATATTAAAATATATGGACACTTAGCAATTTAGCGAAGCCGCGCTGTTGTATGAAAGAGCTGAATATTTTGACAAAGCCGCTTCCGCGTATATAAAATTGAAGAACTGGCATAAAGTGGGTCAGCTTTTGCCGCAAATATCATCGGCAAAAATTAACATACAATATGCCAAGGCCAAAGAGTCTGAAGGAAAGTACGACGAAGCTGCGAAAGCATATGAAACTGCTAAGGATTATGATAATATAATCAGAATCAATCTGGAACACTTAAATAATCCTGGTAAATGCGTTATACTCATACATACATACATACAAGATTCAACGTAACAGACGCACTAGCGATTCAAATACGAGGTTCAACTGTTATTGTATATATTTGCAGCTCGTAGCGTCGAAGTTGTTCAGCAAACGAAAAGTATAGAAGGTGCGAAAATGGTTGCGAAATATTTCCAAAGGATGAACGATTACAATGCAGCTATTAAATTCTTAATTCTGTCTAACTGTCACGACGAAGCCTTTCAATTGGCTAATCAACATGGCAAGATGGAATTGTACGGAGAGATCTTGGTGAATACGATCGAAGATACCAATGTTCGTAAGGAAGATTTTAAAAGTCTCGCGATGCACTTCGAGTCTCAGAAGAATAATCTTTTAGCTGGAAAATATTATTTCCACGCCAAAGAATATCAGAAAGTAAGTTTACCCTCATTGAATTTCCGTGCTAGCCTTTCCTTCATAATCTATAAACGTTTTTATGTGCAATTTTTCTTTAAGGCTCTGCGACATCTACTAAAAGCCGCTCAACTGGTGCCGGACGACGATAGAGCGATTACTTATGCCATAGACGCTGTCGCATCTTCTAAAGACGACAAATTAGCTAATCAATTAATAGACTTTTTGTTGGGCGGGGATGGATTGCCAAAAGTTATTATTGTTTTTATCCTGAGTGCTAATACCGAACATTTCGTGAACAATTTTCTCTGTAGAAATAAAAACATATTTATGGATATGTGAAGTTTAATTTACACTTAGCTCACATATTAATATTTTTTTTTTTTGCATTTCATTAGGATCCGAAGTATCTTTTCCGCTTGTACATGGCTAAGAAACAGTATAAAGAAGCAGCTAAAACGGCGATCATCATCGCGAATGAAGAACAAATTAATGGTATGTTTTTACACATATTATATAAACGCGTTAGTAATGCTGGAATTTTTTTGTTTCAGGAAATTATAGAAACGCTCACGACGTCCTGTTTGGAATGTATCAAGAGCTGAAGAGAAATAAAATTACTATACCATTAGAAATGCAAACTAATCTAAGACTCTTGCATTCTTATATTCTAGTAAGGTTACACGTGAAGAGAAGTGACCACTTGCGAGGTGCCCGGATGCTAATACGAGTAGCAAACAACATATCAAAGTTCCCATCACGTTAGTAAAATTTTCTACGACAATTAATAAATTATAGCGTGTATCTCTATATGTATAGAAAATATAACATTTCATTTCAGATATCGTACCAATATTAACTTCGACTGTAATAGAATGCCATAGGGCGGGTTTGAAAAGCGCGGCTTTCAATTTTGCTGCTATGTTAATGCGCCCCGAGTATCGAGGACAAGTCGACGCGAAATATAGCAAGAAGATTGAAGCGATCGTGAGGAAACCACCACGAGCGAAAGATGTCGAGAACGAAGATGAACCTCTCACTCCATGCCCATACTGTAAGAGCAGAGTTCCTGAGACTGAAGTAACCTGTGATAAATGCAAGAATACCATACCTTTCTGTATTGCGACGGTAAAACCATCTTGTTGATATTTAAAAAATATAGAAGAAATACAGAATTCTTTCATTTCTACTGTTACTTTTTCTCTACAGGGACGACATGTCGTAGAGGATGACTTTACAGCGTGTCCTCAATGTGATTTTCCTGCCATTAGAAGTGAATTTCTAAGGTGAGTAATGTATATATTATAAAATGAACATGCATATTTTTCATGTAATTTTTCATGTAGAATCGTTGAATCTGAAGAAACTTGTCCAATGTGCTCAGAGAGAGTTGGGTCAGAGGCTGTATCATCCATTACTGATATCCATCCATATCTTGACTTTCAAGAAGATAAGACCATCATAAAGGCATAATTTTTACATATTAGACATAGAGAGAGTACATATACAAGTACATATATTAATGTACAAAAAATGAATTTATAGTTTAACTTACACAAACTAGGAAACAATTAGCTATATAGATATCCATATCTTTATTGCACATATCAAATGTGCCTTCTTTAATTGTGTGCCTTAGGTAAGTGAATATGATATACACACGCACACGATCAAAGGATAATATTTCGTACAGTAATTCAAAGTAGTGTAAAGTAATTTGAAGTAGTAACAAGTTGCGTTCAGCGAAAAAAAAAACAATCAGTGAGCAGTCAGTGATTATTGATCTTTACTGTTAAATCTAAACCAATTATGTTGACGAATTACTCAATGTAATGTTCGCTGAACGCACCTGTAGTATGTAGAATGTTTCGATCGATTCGTAAATGAATGCGACTCGTATGAAGCGACAGTATTCTCAATGCAAACGGTGCCGTCCATTATGAGTACAATTTATTAGAGTACAAGATGACTAGAGGTATATATAATCTTATTTTATATATATATATATATATA